TGTTGGTGTGAACTGAGTGCGCACTGGTGCGCACTAACTTTTGCCCAATCGAAAACGCTAATAGATTGCAGAATGGTAATGCACACTTCTCACAGAAAATTCTGGTTCTGACGGAACAATTTGAACAGACTTTTAGTTACTTATACGAAATGATTCATCGAAAGCAACTCAAAGTCTGTTCAAATTGTCCCGTCAGAACCAGAATTTTCTGTGAGAAGTGTGCATTACCATTCTGCAATCCATGTTTCAAGAAGAATCATTGAAAGGATTTATATTCCAGTGAGAGGCAACGAGACTCACTCTAATCGAGCACCCCGAAGGGGATAAAATTCTATCACGTCCACATCGTTGTCTCTGAGTCACGCAGAGAGTAGAATGTCAAATTCGTAATCAGCGACCACGAAAACCCCCGAGTACAGAGTTTTACGGAAATCTGTGAGATTTTCAAAATTTCATGTCCGCCATATGGGAAATCCGCCATTTTGAAAGGTTATGGCCAATTGAGATCGGCAAAAAAAAATTTTTCCTCAAACTTCAACTATTCCAATTACCGTTGATCATAGTTAGGATTGAGTCTCGAAACTCTATTGACTCAAAAAAAAATTCCAAATTTTTGGGTACTTCTTTGCAAATCCGGCGCCATATTGGATTTCCTATTTAAGCAAACTCAATTTTGACCAAGATTCTTGAAGAGCATACCCAAAACTAGCAGAAAACATGGTTTTTGTTTGGAAATTTCTCCTCTTTAGTTATAAGAATGAGGTTTGAAAATGAGCTGAAAAAACGGGATTTTTGGGCGTTAATGGGTTAAAATAACCTTTTATAGAAACGTGTACACTTTCTCGAATATATACTGTATCATATGTCGTAGATAAATGTATGTACATACAGACAAAAGCAATATTTTTAGATCTAATGGAATATGCCAATCAAATGCAAGAGCTTACTGAGCGCTCAGTGAGCGGTTGTAGTACTGAATTCACCCAATCATTTCTTCTCTTTAGAATATCCCGTTGATGACTTTACAAATGCGCCATCTTTGATCCCATTTAATTCAAACTGAACGAACTGAACCTTTGCGGTAGCTAAAATAATTGAGTGATTCCTAGTTCGGTTGAATCCTTTCCTCTATTGAACTTTGAGACGCATGGTACTGGGCTTAACACTTGGAGGCCGAAATCCAGAGAATCGAAAAAAAAATAAAAGAACTTGCAGTATTGTGAGTTGAATATCCATCCGAAGAGAACAAAGAACAAGAAAATTATTGCGATGGTAAAATGGATCATTTAAATGAAATTTTGCAACCATACGTTCGAGCCAGCAAAACTAGATTGTCGTACGTGGATGAATTATTTCCGGATCTCAAAGATAATCCATATATTATCCTTCACAAAAATGTGAGTATCATGTAAAACAATTTCCTCTCATAATCTTGCTTAATGACATAATGCCTTGCTTCAGGTTCCTGGCAGACGCATACAGCATCTCTCGGACCTCAAAAAGAATGAAAGAAGCTTCAATGAGTACTCGATGAGTAATGAAATGTTTCTCTAATTGTATGAGTTATTTGCATTCTATCAGAAACATATAAAGTCCAAAATGTTCTTTAATTAGGACATGATGTCAGTGGTTCGCCTCTGGAGTATTCATTTGGTAATTGTGAATTCGATGACACTGTTGTCATAACAAGACAGAATTGGCAGAAAGAAGAGGAGTCGTATTTGCCACTGAACAGAATGGATGCAAGGTACATACAGAGTCAATAAGATTAAGAAATATCTGATATCTAAGTAAGAGAGAAATAAGGAAATTAATATATATATATATATATATATGTATATATATATGTATATAATATAAATAATATTGAATAGAATTATTGAAAGATATTTATAATATACATCAAGATACACTTTTCCCAGTAATGCAGTGAATATATGTCTTGAACATCTTGATACTAATACTTTGCCAATATTAGCTCTCTGTGATGGAAAAGATCCTAAGCAGAGCAAGCTTATTGGTATCATTGTTTCCCAAGATTGGTTCACCACACTAGAAGCTGTTTCTACTGGTACAACAAATCTGACTACAATAAGAAACAAATCTCACACAGTTGTACAGGAACATCTTAAACATCCGTTTACACAAGAACATAATGTATGTAATATATAAGAGTTTAATTGTTTTAACATTAGAAATAGAGATTTAATTGATTTTTTATATATGTAGATTAAAATATCTATGTTCAGTGCTCTTGACTTGTTTGGGATAAAACAAGAAATGATCGATTGGGATAAGACTTCCAAAAGTGATTTTAAAGGAAGCATTAACATTGAAATGCATTCAAGTAGCTTAGATTCAAGACCGTCAAAAATTGCTTTAGTATGTAAACATAAAAGATTGAGAATGTTATATATATATATTTTTTTTTTCTTGTATCTGCAAATTTTTTATAGATAGCTCAAATAAATGCCGAATGGAAGGATAGCCTATTAAAAGAACTGAGAGATCAGTTATTTTTATTAAGCCAGTATTTATCAACCATAGATGAATGTAAGAAAAATGTTGGACTGCAAAACTCGATAATATTTACAACATCAAATTCAGAGGTAAACAGATTTCTGCATATCTCCCTAAAAACATATTTACCATTATTTTTCCTATCTGTGATCATGTGCGTAAACGTTTTAGGAACATGAGATCGTAAACGAAAAATTAAATCTTTTGCTGAATGGAGATTTCAACTTTCGGAAGTCTAATAATAGCAATGTTAAGGAAAGTAATCACATCAACAAAGAAAATTTTGAAATTGATGCAAAGCTGCGGGAACGTGTACAAAATATTTTTTTGAGACATGATGTAGATTTCACCGACCTCTTGTGGGAAATACTTATAAGTAAGTTGAAAATTTTTCAAGTATATTTGCTTATTATATATTACACGAATAGCTAATTATGTATTCTTCCATATGCAAAGAGGCTTCAACATATTCACACATGATAAATTATATTGAAACAGTTTTGAAGGAAATTATTGAGCATAAATTTACACCACAGGTAATTAACAGAAACGTGTTCTTTTGTCTGGTTTATATTAGTTGTAAGTTTAAAAGTTTAAGAAATTTATATATTAAAAAATGTATATAAGAGTATATAAGAGTATATATTTTGACGTTTTTTAGATCAATGACACAAATTTAACGAGATTTGTGAAATGCATTTCCAATCTGCATCATCAAGAAACAATATCTCATTTATTAGTGGGAAGTGTACCATTAGAACTTGTTGTAGATATGGGATTTGAGAAGCTTATTCGAGATTACTCATATATCTTAAGAGGAGCGCGATT